AAGGGAACACTGTCACTTTTCAGCCTAGATCAATATTCATGCAGTTTATGAATGCTTCATCTTTGAGATCTCTGCTGCTCTGTCAAGACTGCCTAAAGACAGCCAAAAGATTCAAAAGTGGTACAGGGCAAATATCTGGGCAAGCGTGCTGGCAGATGCACACACATACACACGGTGTGGTAACAAATTTCCTCAGGAAAGCAAGCTCAGAAACAAAAGATCTTTATTTTTCCTCTAGATTTTAAGATATAGTATATCTTAATATACTGTAAGTATATAGTATAATATCGCCTACTTAGAAAAGCCAAGGTCTTCTGGTTATCCCTTTACTATCTGCCATCTATAAGACTTCTGAGTAAATGTCAACCTGAGTACAAAGCCTAATACACATATGGCTAGATAGCTGAAGATGTATTGAACAAGGAACAAAAGAAGGATTAACTCTTCAGTTCAGCTGTCGACATCAGCTAAATATATTCAAACCAGCAATTAAATTGGGTCAGGAATAAAAACACTTCTTCGTGTCGGGCTTCTGTTGGAGCTGGGTTCCTGTGATAAATAGAACTCAAAAATTTGTCACTCTCAGTTTGCTATAAAACTGGAAATTATTTTGCAGAAAAGAGTAGATGTAAAACAGGATCAATCCTGCACCACTAGGACAGCGTATGTAATGGGATCATAAGCTGCTGTTGTCAGACCATTGCTACAGGGAAGATACCGCAGCTAAAGCAAACTGATACAATGTGTGCACCAGTGAGCATTATCACTTTTCTAATAAGCTTCAAAACCAAGGAGAACTGGAGGAGAAAAATGGGGACGAACAAGAGTAGGTTTTCTTCCCATCTACTGGATAGATGGATGGACAGACAGAAAGATAATGAATCGATTTAAAGATTAGAACTCTGATTTTTTTTAAGATTTTAAGACTTCTCTACATCTACAGTCTTTTGCACAACCAAACACCCCAGAGCAGTGCTAACGCCAGCCCACTCAATTTTCCAGTCTTCCTAAACAACACATTAACATTCATCAAACACAGCACAGGCATCCGCTCATTGGGAAACAGGCACAGATCAAGAACGCTGCTCGCCCGTCCTGAAAGGGTTAGGGACTGGTGCGAGTTCTTGCACCTTGTTTCCCACATAAACATTTATCTTCAAAGGCACAGCCCAGCTCTTCTGTGCTCAAAGGCAGTTGTGGGGCTGAGTTCCTTCTCTGAGACCTGCAAAGCGTACCCAATGTAAACACATCTGGAAAAATGGCTTTTGCCAAACTGCCTTTATTTTATTCCCTTGAGTGGTGGGTGCTGTAATGCCTCCTTGGGCTTTCCTTCCTCCAGCAGTGGAAACAGAGGCTACAACAAAAAGCATCCCCTCTGCCTGACAAAACTGAAAGCTTGCCACCTGCTATGCACAATGAGAATATCATTTCCAAATGAACAGTTGTTGCAATCACTGTGCATAAATGCTCACTTATTGTGCCTTTTCTGAAATAGTCTTCTCGCAACATATAATCCATTTTAATTAATTTATTTTTGCAATTTCAAGAAACGTACAAGGCTGTTGAGTGAGTTCAACTCTTGTTAGCAGAGAAGGGAATGAAAACCTCACAGCAGTGCAGCTTCAATACACAGCTTAAGTACGCAGATGACAGCTGTTTCTATCCAACAACGGGGTTCCTAGAATGACTACAATTTCTATGTCACTTTAAATAACTAGCTACAAAATAAGCTCACAGCCTTCAGAGAGTAACCACTAATGCATAAAGAGAAAAATACAAGCCTGGTACACTGCATCAGCAGGCAGACAGCTCTCAAATGGGATATATTACCTCTCTGTGCCAAATAGGATTAGTTGTGTTACTGATGATAGTCGACCTTCTTTCCTGGCCATGATGAGCAAATGTAGGAAATGTACTTTTCTTGCCTGGCTGAATGGACATCTTCAGGTAAGGATCAGGGTTGAAGAACATGCCTTTTTTAAGTCCAGCTGCTCTAATATCTATAAAGAAAACAAGAAGGAAGGAAAAAGGAACTGAGTAAATTAAAGCTAGTTCACAAAGTAGTGCTTTCCTAAAAATATTACCCAGGAAATCAACTCACCATAAACTACTAAATAAAGAGACGTAAAACTCTACTCATATGTTAACTGGATCCACTGTACAGAAGACAGTTAAAGCAGGAAGTCTAGTGTTTTCCCAAGAGAATACAGGGAAGAAAGGTATCAACATCCTCATTTGTATTTTAGCATCCAGTTAGTCATTTGTAAAACAAAAAGCATGAACGTGTAGCTCACCTAAAAATGTTTTTCTCAGCATGTAAGGTATTTCCACTCTTAAACCCCAAACAACACAAAAAGACATCACACAGTACTTGCTCTCTTTCTGGCTATGGGTAAGGGGCTAAGATAAAAAACTGTGTGGAAGGTAATGCAGTGAAGTCATACCTTCCCAAAACTGAAACTTCGATAAACAGAACTTCAAATACTTATTATCAAGGTTGCTTTGGTTCTTTGGAAGAAGATAACTTATATCACATAAAAGGAGGCAAAGTTTTCTGAAACCGCTTCTTTCTTCCTAGGGAAACCTTAGTACTGGGGCCCTTGCAACTTACAACAATAAATAATAACTTCCTCAGGTGCATATTCTCATGCCTAAGGACCTTAATGATAGTGCAAGCTTCAACAAGAACAAAAAGAAAGAGGCATTTTAATTTGATATTAGACTTTAAACTTAACTGTAAAATATTTCTCTGTTTAGGTCTGCTGAAGCACAAGGGTTTTGTGTCTTTTTCCATTAGGTACTCCAACATGCTGCATGTAGTCTTCATGACTTTAATGCAACTGGCACACACACAGTTAGATGAACAGCCTATACATGCAGGCAAAATTCACTGCACTAAAATGAAATGCCATGCCTGTGGCTTCAGTAAATAAAAAAAAAATCCCAAAATCCTATCCAGTGTTCCAAACAATAAAAGGACAATTGCCTTTAAAGGCACCTACTTTGCACATACAAATGAGCCACCAAAAAATGTCCTGGGAAATAAGTTCCAGACCTACCAGTCAATACACCCTTCGAGGTTAGGGGACTCTTGGGGGGGAGTCAAACCCTTCTGCTAAACACAACAGGTTTTTCAGAATGCACAAAACAATTATTTTTATAGTATTCTATATGCATCTATACAATTTATCAGCTGTATCCTAGTTAATTGCTGGAAGACCATTCCAAGAAGCAGGGTTTTGTTCTGCTCCACCCCTACAATCTCTCAACGTTTTCACTGTCAGCTCTTCAAGATTCAGAAGCAATTTTTTTTAGTGCCTATGCTCAAGCTGAATATGCTTTAGTCTCACACAAGACTTCCCGTGGCATAAAGTGCTAATTGAAACAAGTGAAGCCGGTAGACTGTACCCCTACAGTTACTTTGCTGTAGTGACAGTTTAGCTCTGTTACAAGTACAGATTTGTTTCTTTTCTAAACCACCATTTGCAGCCATTGCTTTTTTTTACTACTTCAATGTGATGGAACCAGCTTGCATTTTACTTGGAAGCTACGCTTTCCCTTCTTCAACCCGAGAGAACTGTCCCTTGTGCAAACTGGAAATCTCTCCAAATTTTTTATGCTGGGATCCATCAAATCCATGTCTTTCACTCTTGAAGAGTCATGATTCTGGCTTGTTTCCAACAAACAGAAGTTCTAAGGAAATGACATCTTTCAAGCCACTAGAGTGTGCTCCTACAGAGGCTAATGAAGGAAAGTGTTCCAGCTTTGATGTTATTTAAAACAGCAATACTTTTATTACTTATTTTGTTCTAACAGTAATTTGTAAACCACAGAGTAGCGTTGGCTTTTACCTGACAATGTAAAGCTGACTAACTTCCTAGAGTGCTGGGCTCCAGAAGCACCTTCATCCGTGCCTTCTACTCCCATCTAGACAGAAAGAAAAAGAATTAAATGTACCACAGAAGTTTCCATCCACTTTGTACTTGTTTGAGGATGATAATGCAATGGTAAAATAGAATGCAGGGGAAGAATCTGACCAACTACTGCCTATTACCACAGCCTGGCAGAGGTAAAGCATTTGTTTTTAGGAAAATACCTACTATCTAATGCCACACACTGCTAATACACCACTACTTGGAATCTTCCAAACAGAACATATATAGGCTTGTACACATGCAGATGTTATTAATCAGAGAAATGGAGACTGTATTTTCTTACAGGTTTCCCTTTCATAAAGTAAAATCAACAGCGTGGATTGGTAATACGTACCAAAGCACTGAGCTGGCCAGTGACAGCATGTCTTAACTTTCATCACTTTCCACAAATAGATACTTTACTGGGCAACAAAAAACCCAAGAGATCAAAGAAAGACTAACAAAACCAGAAATGTGCATCAGATATCTGAATGTGAATGTGGTCTAAAGGATTATGCTTCATAGATTTTCAATTTTTTTTCTGCTGAAATCTCATTAGGTAAAGCACTACTTCAAAATGAAAAGTTTCTTGTGTGCTAATGCCTTAGGAATGTCTAGCTCTTTCAACTAGCAGAAGAATTTATCTTTCAAGACAGAGATGTCCTCATGATATATTATTCAGCTGGATGCACATCAATGGAGCTGACTTTAAAGTCAAATGTTCTCCAGGTAGGTACTGCACATCCAGGCAGAAGAGGTGCCACAGCCCGATGAAAAAGCTCTAGTCAAACACTGCACTGGGCATTAATATTAGATATTAATAGAACAGGAAGTCACCTGATCCATTAATCCGTAAACAAAAATAAGCTGAATAAAAACACACGTTTGTGTAGTATGTAAAGCAGTGTTGAGCTGCTGAAGAGATCTTTGAAGTTACCAGATTGTCAAATGATTCTGGAGCCGTGCTAGCCATGAGGAACCCACTTCGCATTAACCGTAAACGTACTCATTCCTATTTATATTGCTCTAAGCTATTTAATATCATTAGTTTTCAAATACTGCCCACGATGATCACAAGCATATTGGAACTTCATCAGAATTAGCAAACATGCAAAAATTCTCCCATCGCAAAGCTCAAATACTTCATATGTAACAGTCAAGCAGAACAATGAAGAACCAGCAATGGCACTGGTGTCTGGTGGCCCCATGGGCCTCAACAGCCTTGCAAGGAAACATACCATGCCAGCAAGCGCCACTGCTCTCCAACCAGCTCACTTCCTCCCTCACTGCTGGCTTCATGACACATCCCCGTTCTCAGGGCAGGACATTTGTCACCAGAGTGCTCAAAACTATCCCTTTCCCATCCAGCATGACATCGTTACACTATGACTTCATATGGATGCATAAGCATTGACAGCTGGTAGAAAAATTACGAGGGCATCAAAAGCAAAAGGTTAATTCCAGCTAGATCATCTAAAGACACCTAATCTACAGACACATTCCCTGGAAGCAGCAAGAAGTGCATTGCCCTGGGATGGTGACGCTGCCCAAGGCAAGGACAGAAGAACACTATGTATCCCAGTTTACTCTTCTGGGTTCATTTTAACATGCATTGTTTTCTTGTTAAAAACATTATTCATCAACAAAAAGGCCTTCCTCATTCTATACCTATTTTCCTTCTACATCAATGACTGAACAATATTCCTTACGTTGCTAATCGTTACTTCATTTTATAAAAACTAGGATTTGCCCACAATTCAGCTATAATAAAATGAATTGTAATAGCATTCCCTGGCACTTCCCTGGTTTCACTGTCTAATCTTTTCCTTTTCCATTACGATCTGAACAGCAATTTCAGTTTTTCTGTGCCAAGCACAAAATGCCACCCCAGCATTCCAATAAAGGCTATCTCATCTGGTCTAACACAGTGTTTCTGAATGTTACATCAGGCCTTGTATTTTCAGTGGTTCAAATGAGCACAACAGCATGTTAGTTGGCTGCTCATCCAGACTGAAATGCCTGGTGTGATATACCATCAGTACGAGGAAAATCCAAAACACGTCTCCCAGCAAACAATGTAAAGCAAACATGTAGAATGATCCAGTAAGTAGGTAATCTACTGCAGCCTAAAGAAAGGGGAGTGGGCATGCCATGACTCTCGTACCACTTCCACAAACAGCATTCCCATAACAGACACAATCAGTGCCAAGACAACAAAGTATTTTCTACTGCACACTGCTCAAGCTCAACACCAAAACCATGAAAATGGTGTGAGGTTAACATTTAAGTTATGTATAACTAACCCAATATGATGTTTTGAGGAAGTCTCATCTAAGTTGTCTTATGACAATCTAAACAAGGAAACTAACACTATTACTGGAAGTCTGTACTGTTAGTGCAACGAAACATGTATATAGGATTACACCTTCTAGCAGGTGTATAAATTCTGTACAATATCCAGGATCCTCTGTTACCTTTCAAAGGAAAGAAATCCAAATACTAACAGCCAGTTTACCTGTCAAGATGGACCAATGACTCTGAAAGATGGGTCTTCAGGTAGCTAACCAAGTAAATAAATGCTTATTTAAAGACAGAAGTTCGGATGTCCTTTTATGCAATGAATCTCACAAACACTGGGGGCTAGTACGACAAGGTCAAGAAAACACTCCAGCTCAAATGGTCTCTCCACAGAGTATCATCACTCTGCTTCTCAGTAATCATCGTTTCATAGAACAGTTAGGGTTGGAAAGGACCTTAAGATCATCTAGTTCCAACCCCTCTTGCTGCAGGCAGGGATACCTCACTCTAAACCGTGTCACCCAAGAAATGATAATGATATAGTGCAGCACAAAGCCCATTTTTCAGAGTTATTTTGGGATGCAGTTTTTTCCTTTTTCAAAATCAGGCTACCCTTTTGTCTTTAGTTTATAAATTGATACTAAAGACAGTGGCTATCAAGCTCATTAACTGCAACATATTTTCTTCTACAAAATATCAAGAGTTCATACTGCTGCTGCAAAATGCTATTATTGATAGTTAGTGGTGTCAATTAAATGATGCCATCACCTAAGTCTGTCATTCTAAGAGAAACAAAAGAAACCATTTGGTATAACGAGATATAAAATCTAGTATAGCGCATATAGTATCATGGAGCCAAAGGATACACTTGTACATAACATACAATGCTGAAAAAGCGCAGGATCAGAATAAAAGCTCTTTAGTCTGAATACCCTGTGCTATACAGCATCTTCAACACTGCAGTCATCAGGACAGCATCCTGACAGATGTGATCTTAAGTATTTGGCAGCTCATATCAATGAATCAAATACACAGTGAAACTTCATGTCAACTGAAGAGCTAGCCTGTTACATAGATTACTTCCATCAAAAGCACCTGGATGGAAGTCTGGAAGGCTCTTCTCCGCTCTTTATTTAAACAACTGAAAAAAAACCCTCCTCTAAAACTTTAAGTATTTCAAAAGAACAAGTCTTACAATGAAAGCACAGTAAGACAACAGTTATTCTGAGAGACTTACTACATTCCAATGGTATATGAACACTCAAATAAATTAACTCTTGCAAGAGCAGAGTTTTGTCCAGTTTCATTTTTACACTAACAACTGCTATCTCAGCAACTCAGTTTGAGTTATATAACTAGTGTGAAAAAAAAAATCTATTATGGTGTTCAATTCTAGCAAACTAAGCCTCAAAATTGAAATCAAACAAAATCAAATTCTTGGCATAAAAGATGTCAGTTAAGCTCAGTGACTTTTTACTGTTCTCTTATCACAAACAATACAAACCCATGAAAATAATTTTCCAAGTTCGGTGATTTTTATCCAGCAACGCAATTCTTTGCAAAAACTTGCAGCCACTGGTAGAACTACAAGACTTACATTGATCGGTTTGTCTGACAGTTCATATTATCATTTTATACAAATACAAGGAACAAATAGGGTAAACTTACCATCACAGCAGGGTTTTTCACAGTGATACATGGAGTAGTAGCTCGGAGGGCTCCACTAACACCATGGTAGTATTTAAAACAGATCTTTATTTCAGCTGAAAAGAAAACAAAAATCACATTAAAACCTTCATGACTGACCCCAGGTGGAAGAGAGGCAATGAAAGGAACACAGGCACACAGGGAGTCATAGTTCGCTTCTGTTCACAGAGTCTGAGTTTGGGCAGTTGACTGATACATCTTTGCTGTAAAAGCATACAGTAACTGTAACTGAAACGGCGTTTCTCTCAACCTGTAGAAAACTGGAAACCTGCCTCAAAGGAAGTCTATCAGGTTTTTAGCTGAAGAGCTGGTAAATGGTGGGGTTTTTTAATTTTACCTAGATTTCTACTCAGTCAGTTAGAAAAAACACCATCAGCTCATTTTTTCCCAGTTCTTGCAGTGAGACGTCCATGGTCGCTACTGGGTAAGAAAGGCCTAAGTATTCACAAGCCACGTATCACACAAAGCCACTTTCGTATGTTTTGTATGGATCCAGGGAGAAGGAAATGAGAACAGTATTAATCACTGAAGACAAGACCATTTCAATGTAATACAGTTAATGTGAATTATTATTTTTCAGCAGATTTGTAAGTTGAAAATAAAAAAACGTTACACATGTTTTATTCTTAATTTAATCGTATGAAAATGGATAAGGCTCTACAGCCTTATACACAGAAGTGGACTTCAAAACACTATTGAAAAGGTTTAAAAGTTCTGCAGGTTGTGTTAACTCCTGCAGATCCTAACTGTTAATATTCCCCTTTTTGTGTGACCTTACAAACCTTTTACTATAGTTCAGTATGCCAAACCAAAAATACCCCTGATCCTGGTAAAATAAGAGAATAAACATACACAACTTGAGGATGATCTAAAAATACTGTAAAACTCAAGCTCTTAAAGGTTGGACATTAGTGCAACAGATATTCTGACATTCTGGTAGGAGTGGACATGCAAGTATGGTGGAAAGCTATTAATATGCTGTTCAATGTACTCAATGAAAGCTCATCCTATACAAGTAGAATCCATCATTCAGTGATCCATCTTCAGAAATACTTCAAGAGGAAATTAAGATTAGAGCAGCTAGTTATGTCCTCTTAGTGTGTTGGGTCCTTCTGTTATTTAACAGACCAAAAAGTAACTTATCTAATTCTGCAGCTTGTATTTCACTACTATTTCAATATAATCAGCTAATGAAAAGGCTTAACGAGATATTTTTATACTAGGATGATTCTTGTCAGACTTTGGAAGAAGTTGCATAACACATATCTGAAGGAAGCTTGAAGCACTTTATATTGGAACACAGGAAAGGTAAACGTTGCACCATGTTTCTGGTCCCACTGAATAAAGTTTTGTTTGCTAAACAGCATTTACTGCAGACAAAAGAGTATTATGTTTAACCGAAGCCTGACCTCCACTGTTGTTCCTCTGCATTCTTCCTACCAGCAGAACAGCTATAATTATGGCTGCCCTTGATCCTGTGGGATTCCCTAGCTGGAACAATGTCTCTGTTTTCCTTCTCCGTTGGGATAACTCTTCTATGTAATTTTGATGAGGGTTTACCTCTGGGTACAGAAATGGCCACAGGCAGACAGCGATGGCCAGAGGTGGGAAGAAATTGCAGCAGCCAGTTCAGAGAGACCACAGGATGTGCATGGAAGTCTTGGTAGTTCAATTCCTCTGACTTAGTTTAACAATATGTTGGTAGTCCTGAAGTATGAAACTGCAATGTTTTGTATAAGGTTTTGAGACACATACAGCATGGTTCCTTCAGGGTTGAAGTATTTCATCACTGCAAGATAAAATACCCACTTATCCCTACTCGGATCAGAAAACCATGCTGCAAGCCTGCTCAGCCAAAAAGGATTACTTATTTATTTATTTAAAATTTTCTGCAGTTATAGATCAACATTTACTTACTATCTTCCTCCCAGAACAAAGAAGAGGCACCTCAGAACTACTCTTCAAAGGGAAGTGTCTGGCTGACAGTGCCTCCAGGGATTTATGAGGTGGAGGAGCTGCTGATCCCACTTCCTCCTCCTCACAGCTGAGTTTACATGCACAGCCAAAACATGCTCTATTTACCACAAGCTTCAGAGCAAAATTCAAAATCCAGACAGGATTTCTAATTACCTACAAAGGTTTGTAAGACCTAAAAAGTACATGTCAGGACCTGCAGGTTCTTCCTAAACAGAGCAATTCTTTTGACCTCCCAACAATGCTTATATCCAAATGAACACAAAAAGAATTTCTAGCTCATGTAAAATTGGAGTGTCAGCAATTGTGGAAGTTGGCACAACTTATACCAAGTGGTGGACTATCCACATTGTAAAATGCACACATTAAGTAACTAGGACTCATGTCTTGAGCACCTCTCAATCACACTGTGAACATACTGTGACTGCATGAGACCATGGTAAGCCAATGAACTATTCCACCAAGACTTCTACTTTCCACCTTCTCGTGGTTTAAGCCCAGCCGGTAACTCGGAATCACACAGCCATTCATTCACTCTCCCCCCACTTATTCCTCCCCCCGCTCTCAGAGCGATGAGGAGGAGAATCGGAGGAATGTAACTCCCACGGGTTGAGATAACAGCACTCCAGTAACTAAGGTATAATACAAACCACTACTGCTACCAATAATAATGATAAGGGAAATAACAAGGGGAGAGGACACAACCGCTCACCACCCGCCAACCAATACCCAGCCCAACTCAAGCAGTGATCTGGGCCTTCCGGGTGACTCCCCCCAGTTTCTATACTGGGCATGAGGTGCTGTGGTATGGAATAGCCCTTTGGCCAGTTTGGGTTAGGTGTCCTGTCTCTCGCTTCCTCCTGGCTTCCCCTCCTCCCTGGCAGAGCATGAGACTGAGAAAGTCCTTGGTCAGAGTAAACATTACTTAGCAACAACTAAAAACATCGGTGTTATCAGCGTTGTTCCCAGGCTGAAAGTCAAAAACACAGCACTGCACCAGCTACTAAGAAGGAGAAAAATGACTGCTGCGGCTGAACCCAGGACACACATACACTGCTCAGCTTTATTGTGACCCAACTTTATTTTTCAGCGACTTTCTGGAGCTGCTACTTATTCAGTCTGTTGTCATTGACTATCTTCTCTCAGTTGATCACTTCTGAAAGGAACCTAGCAATGGAAAGGTTATCAGCTGCTTCTATCCACACAGTCCATAACATGATGGTGGACAGAAGTTCGTTATATATTCTCACTATGCTGACATGTACGTTCCCTAAAGGCTGAAATTCAATGCTGTGAGCTTTGCATCCTCAGATTTCTTTCTCTCAATGACTTCTATGAGCATATAGTACTTTTCAATACCTCTGCATGTCTGGCAATAGAAGACGACAATGTTTGATTCAGAACTAGATCTGATGATCCCTTTTCATAAAAACTAAATTTAAAAATATAATTTTAAAAGAGCCTTCAGGACTAATTGCTAGAAATAATTAGAAAAAGCAGAGCACTTAAAAAATGAAAAGGAGACTTTTTCTCCCACTTCCCAAAAGAAGCATCATTGACTTAGTTTGGGCTTTATAAAGCACTACACAGAGGAATGGCAGACCTGTGGTTAGTATGTGTCTCCTTTAGGGAAGAACTTGCACTTCTCTTTTTCCTTTCCTACTTCTTCCCCCAACAAGTTAATTAGATTTGTATGTGATCTGTGATGAAAAAGTTAATAGCAGTAAAACCACCAAGGGAAAGACATGTGTACCTGACCACAAGACTATCTGCTGTCTCGTTAAAATACAAAAGTATTTTTGTTCATAGGGAAAAAAGAATGACTGTACCTAGTTCTGCATTCTTGATACCACACATACCCCGTTGTCATTGACATTCTTCCAGACCACTGGAAATTCTTTCTTCATTTAAAAATAAGACAGAAAGCAAATTGGGGGATCTATGATTCTTTAAAAGTTATCACACAGCCCTATAAAAAGTAATATATATGTTAATTAATCTGAACACTCTGTAAAACCATAATACCCTTCTTTAAAAGCCAATAGCTGTTATCATTTTATAACCATAGTTTTACAGCTCATGTCCATTACATAAAAATATTGGAATTAACAAAGGTTTCTGGGACTCAAACACTGACATTTGAATTTCAAAAGAACTCCTGCATGAAATTATAGCGTTGTACTTCCCTCTATGGACCATACACTCTTGCCTCTTCAATAATAAAGAGATCAGCTTACACCAAATAATAACTTCCTTTTAAAACATCACAAATTCCCTAAAGTCTCCTGCTTTAGCTGCCTTTTTACTGCCCTTAACACTTTAACTTTACCTGTCAAAAAATTGCTTTAGGATAAACAGATACTCAGAATATCTAAACTTGGAACACATAAATACATGAACATAATTCTAGAAGAATGCATTCTCTCCAGGAGACTGATAATTCAGGAAAACAAACTGCAGTAAGAACCGTTTGCTTCAGATATACCCAAGCCTGTATTAGAGGTGGAATCACCCCACACTCCATGGAGAACGGATGGGCAGAGATGCCTCCAAAACACAAGTCAAATCCTAGTTGGGTTTTAACAGCCTGTGGAGATAAACAGTGGTCCCATGTAACTGTATGGAAACTGCACAGCAGCTAATACTTCCTGGACAATGCAGCTGGACATCAGAAGTTAAGCTATAAAGGGAGATGCAATCCAGGGAAAAGGCAGCGGGCTAACCCCTAATTTTTCCCAGCTAAACCCAAACACCTCATAAATGACTGCAGGAATTTAGAACTGCTCTGCATGTCCTGCCAGCTGAATTTCTTTCCCTTAGCATGACAGTTCAGTGAACCTTTTTGTTCGGACATTTAGCATTTTACTCTCTGCATCACTTTAACCATGTACCTTTTTGATTACTTCCTACTGGGAAGTAGCAATCACAGCAGCAGAACACAAGTGCAAAGGCTGGCTGCCTCCAGGTACTTGCCATCCCTCTCAGCAGGTATATCACAGAGTTTATTTTACAGAAGTAATGATAAAGAAAAAAAAAGCAATCAACAAACACCTAGAAAGTGACTTCAGTGGCCTCTTTCCAT